TTAACCAAATAATGAATTCTTATCCCAAATACTTAAATTTTTACATTTGTCAAACCCAAAATTACTATAGACCTTTACTACTGTGTACTGTATGTCTACTCAGTTCTACTGATCTACTTTACTATTTCTTAGCCAGTACCAGATATTTTTGATATTTACTGCCTTATAGTTTAAGGTCTGGTATTGCTGAATCTCCTTCCTTTACATTTGTTTTTTCATTAGTATCTTTGAAATTCTTGAACTTTTGTTCTTCCAAATGAATTTTGTTATTATTTTTTCTAACTCAGTGAAATTTTTTAAAGTAATTTAATTAAGATGGCATTGAAGAAATAGATTAATTAGGTAAAATTGTCATTTTTACTATATTGGCTTTGCCTACCCATGAACAACTAGTATTTCTTCAATTATTTAATCTGACTCTATTTGCATAAAGTATTTTATAATTCTGTTCATTCAGTTCCTGGGTCTTTTTGGCAGGTATACTCTCAGGTATTTTATACTATCTACAGGTATTTTAAATGGTCATGTCAACTAGACCAGAACTGGTCCCAAACCTATGGATGGCCAGAACCAAAACAGAGCAGGCCATAGACAGGTGTGTCAGGACATACACAGAAGTTTAATTAATTTCAAAATGAGGAAGATGACACCTGCAGGTGGAAGCCGCTCCTCCTAAGAAGGAGGGCTTAATGTGCTGGACCAACGGTAGGTCTTATATATATAAAAACCACAAATGGGCTGGACCATGACATAATCATTTTTAGGTCTTGAGTTACTGTTCTCATAGTTGGCATTTCTTGGGACAGTATAGGTGTTCTTGGGTCCTATGGGAATAGTCACGGTCTCAAGTCTTTTTGGGGGTTGTGATTACTCTTGGGTACAGAACCAGAGTTCTGTGACAGGAACAGAAGTACAGTACAAGGAATAGGGATTGTGATATATTTAATATATTATAATATATTTAATACTCCTCTCCCCCCCACTACTTCCCAGGGCCATCCATCATATATGGAATAAATATATTCCACAATTTGGGCACTTTAATTTGTTTTTCACTGGTGTTCATTTTGCTTAAGTCAGGATGTTTTGATTCGAAATGGCGACGAAGACTGTGTTCCTTCAGAACAGCTATTACTTCTCGGCAAACAAGGCACAATATTTTGTCCTTGTGTAAGTAAACAAGTATCTATTTGTCCACTCCAGATTAAACTCTCTATATTCTGCTTGGATCTTCCATTTCTTTTCATCATTCCTTTCACAAAGTCACCCCAAAAACTTTAATGTTAGAAACAAAAAATCTCCAAGGCAACTGCTCACATACAAAGAAATACTGAACCAAGTGTCTGATCTTGGAGAAAGTGCCAGACACTCAGGTAACTTGGAGGGGAAGAAACCCTTGTATTGTTGCTGCTCACAGCATAGCAGGGGTCAGCTGTGCTGTGCATGGCTGCGTTCACTTTGTCTCTGTACAATACCAGTAATGACTGAAAACACAGTGAAAAGATACAATTCTCGCTCCTCTAAGTCTAGAGACAGACTGATGGTTGGTTGCCTTGGGTCACGTGACAAACAGGAGCAAATGCACAATGGCAACCCACCTGCCAAGTTACATGATGGCCACAGCAGTGACTAGTGGAAGGCGCGTTAAGTGGGGCACGAACAAAGCATTTGTTATATCTTTACTTTCTTTTACGTCCTCAGCATTTTCCCCAGGCAGCTCGAAATCCTTTGGCCCGAGGGCTACAAGTTGTACAGGCCTGTTCTAGCCACTGTGCTAAGCACTGAAGATTTTTGCTGTTGTTCATTTGATTTCAGTCGTGTCTGACTCTTTGTGACCCCATTTGAGGTTTTCCTTTTTCTCTTTTTTTTTTAGGATAGGCTGGATTTGAACTCAGATCCCTCTGAATCCAAGGCCAGTGCTCTATCCACTGTGCCACCTAGCTGCCTCCCATTTGAGGTTTTCTTGACAAAGATACTGGAGTGGTTTGCCATTTACTTCTTCAGCTCATTTTACTGATGAGGAACTGAGGCAAACAGGATTTGCCCAGGGTCACACAGCTAACAAGTGTCTGAGGCCAGATTTGAACTCAGAAAAGATGACTTCTGACTCCAGGCCCAGCCCTCTAGTCACTGCACCTCCTAGCTGCCCCAAAGCACTGTGGGTACAAATAGGCACAAAACAAAACAAAAACAGTGTCTGCTCTCAAGGAGCTCAGTCTAATGGAAGGCATAACATGAAAACAACTATATACAAATAAGATACAAGATAAATTGGAGGGTAGTTTCAGAGGGAGGGCACTGGGAAGAGAAGACTAAGAAAGGCTTCTTGAAGCATATGGACTTTTGGCTGAGACTTGAACTAAACCAGGGAAGCTTGGAGACAAAAATGAAGAGGAAGAGAAATCTAGCAACAAGGGATGGCCAGTAAAAATTCAAGTAGTCAGAAGATGGAGTGTCTTGTGTAAGGAACAGCAAAGAAGCCAGGTCACTGGATCACAGTGTAAGGTGTAAGAAGACTGGAAAGGTAGAAGAGGCTAGGTTATGAAGGGCTTTAAAGCCAAACAGAGGATTTTAAGAACAATTTGAGTTGAGTGGAAGATGCATTGGAATGAGGAGAGACTTGAAGCTGGGAGACCAACCAGCAAGCTATTGCAATAGTTTAGGCATGAGGTGATGAGGACCTGCAGTAGAATGGCTGAAGTATAAGAGGAGAGAAGAGATGTAGACAGGAAACGCTACTAAAGTCAAAACAACAGGATTTGACAACTGATTGAGGGAGATGAGAGACAGTGAGGAACAGAGGATGACACCAAGGTTGGGAGCCTGGCTAACTAGGAAGATGGTGGCACCCTTGACAGGAAAAGAGAAGTTGGGAAGTAGAGAGTGTGTGTGTGTAAAGATAATGAGTTCAGCTTTGGACCTGTTGAGTTTAAGAATGTCTAGGGGACATTTAGGTCAGGATGTCTAATAGGCAGCTGAACATATGAGTCTGGAAATCTGAGTCATCTGTATAGAGATAATTGAAACCAGATGGCAATAGTGTTTAACTACGAAAAATACGTCTTGCATGTAATTGAATATGTTCATTGATGAACATGGTAATTACTGCATATTTACATACCTTAGATAATTCGCCTCTTATCCATGAAAAATTTTTCTGCTTTCATATTTGATTATATGTACTATTATTTATGCATATTCTGTTATTATGTAGACTTACTGATGTTATTGTTATATTGCTTTGTTTTACTGATCATATGTATTTGCTTATGGAAATGAATGTACTACCATGACATGTACATGTGAAATGTCCTGCATGTCATTTGGATCTTCACTCACCAGAGCTATGCAGGATTTAGTACTATATACAAATATATCCAAATGTATCCCAAATGATTTGCTAGGGAGTAGGGAGAGTTAAAAGAGTTAATATTTAAAAGCCTAAGACCTAACAAAATAAAAAGGAGCTAATAATGAAATATTAAACTAACTTTAACTAGGTGGCCACTTCAAGACATCTTTTTATTAGAGGATTACTTAAGTCCCTGGAGTGAATTAGAGGGTAATATCAATGGACAAATGATGATTAGCCATGCCCCTAGGTGACCCTTAAGAGATGATCCAATTCAAGAGTCAATCAGTTCTAGTGCTTTTAGGCAGAAGCAAGTTTTAAGGAACCCATTTCCTAATGAGATGTATAATAGATGTATGGAGCTAGAGAAGGGAAAGCCCCAAGAAGCAAGCAAAGCAGAAATAGAGGTAAGGCAGTCTCCTCAGGGAGTGGGTCCAAGGATCTGAGAGAAAGGCTGTGTAAATCAAATAGTCAAGAAGATTGTCAGACCATATGTAACTGCAATACTCCACTACCAACACCACAGACACCAAAGTGGTAATTCTGATTCTTCTTTCCCTCCTTGGGCTCCCTCATGGGACCCTGAAGCTTTTTCCTCTTGTAGGGGAATCTATTTGCCTCTCTTTGTTTTAAGAATTTACTTTGTCTTTCTAAACAGTTATCCACAGACATTTGCTATTCTGAGTATGCTTACTGGGAGAAGGCAAAGGGGGTGGGGTGGGGCAGGGTATGAGGGAGATAGCATCCCCAGAGAAGAGAGACATTTTAATCAAGAGGTGTTTTGCCAGAGCGTAAGTGGCACATATACTAGGAAATCCATTCTCACCACCCCATCTCTCCTACAATTAACCTTAAGACATCACCTGGGTGATTGTGAGAGAGTAGGTGACTTGCCCATGGATACAGCTAGGAGGTCAGACAGAACTTGAACCCAGGTCTTCCTGACTCTAATGCCCGGCCCTTCTCCGCTATTCCACACACAGTCTCTCAAACATAATAGGCCACTGAATAAATGTTTGTTGCATGAATGAGTGGCCTTACAATTTAATGTCCTCCATGCATGGAATGTTCTCCTAGATCTTCTCTGACTGCTGACCTCTCTGGCTTCAAGTCCCAGCTAACACCCCACCTTCCCCAGGAAGTCTTTCCCAGGCCCGCTTAATTCCGGTGCTTTATATTATTTCCAATTTATCCTGTATATAGTTGCTTTGTACACATTTATGTGCAAGTTGTCTTCCTCCATTAGATTATAAGCTCCTCGAGGGCAGGGACTGTCTTTTGGTTCTTTTTGTGTCCCCAGGGCTTAGTGCAGTGCTTGGCACACAAACAATTGTTTTGAACTGAACTGAAGCTGGAGGCAGACGATGCAGGTTCAAATCCTGGCTCTGCCCCTCACAGTGCTGGCGAACTAGGGCACACGGCTCCTTTTCTCCGGGCGGGTCCTCGCCTTGTCAGACGAAGGGAGTAGCTCAGACCCATCCCAGAAGGTGCCCCACCCACCCAACGTGACCTCGCCTTCTCGGGGAACCCCCCCCTTCTGGGCTCCGGTCTCTCGCTGCAGTGCGCCCCCACCCTCGGAGGAGAAGGAGAAGAGGGAAGAGGAGGAGGAAGTGACGTAGAGGAAGTGTCCCTTTTCCCCTTGCAGCAGGGGGAAGGCATCAAGCCCTCCCCCCAAGATGGCGGCGGTGACGGAGGAGTGGATGGCGGAGGAAGGAGGCGGTGGCAGCTGCGGCGGCGGCTCTTCCCTGGCCGCGGGGGCGTCCCAACGACTGTCGCCGCTGCCCCCGCCGCAGCCAGCACTGCTGGGACCCCAGTCGCCGGCCTCCCCGTCCCTGGCCTTGGACCAGCTGCCTCACAACAACACGCTGGTAGCGCTGCCCATCGTGGCCATCGAGAACATCCTCAGCTTCATGTCCTACGACGAGATCAGCCAGCTCCGCCTGGTGAGGCTCTCCCCTCCCCCCCCGCTCGCCCTCCCCCCATCTCCCTCCCCAGCTCCCTCCCCCAACCCCGGCCTCGCCTCCGCGGGGCAGGCAATGGGGGAGGGACTCCAACCCCCCACACACCCCCGGCCCAGCGTCCAACCACGGAGAGAGGGGAGAGAGGGGAGGGAGGGGCGTGTCCGGCTCCCCCCTCCCCTCCCCTCTACTCTGGGCCCACCCCTACCTGGGGAGCTGGCGAGCCCCTCCTGGACGGCCGCGGTGCTTCAGGGACATTCTCCTTACCCCCCTCCCCCAGCCCACGGCAAGAGCATCGCTAAGGGGAGACCCAGTCGTCTGCAGCCCACACTCCTGCAGTCTGGTCCCCACCACGTCAGGGGGTCGAGGCTTGAACATCAGTGCCCTCATTTTCATCCACCCTCTCTAAGGTTGCTTGTTAAAAAGAGATACTGGGATTGGCTGGCTTCATCTTACTAGAATGTGAGGTATTGTTTCCCACCTCAACTCCCTATCCTGGAGTATCACAGTACTCTAGCGAGAGTGGGTTAAACCGCCTCTGTCATTTCCCAAGAACCTTGTGAAAGGGTTAAGACACGACTCTGAGCAGCTTGAGTCTGTTTTCTTACTCCAGCACCCAGTGCCCTCTTGACCCATAAAAACATCCCTGGAAAACAGGCTTTGAGACATCTGCTGTCACCCTTGACGCTTTCTCCTCGCCCCCAAGCAACTTGCCGTTTGTCTATCTTGCTCTCCCTTGCAATATCTTCTAACTAGAGTAATTTACTTCTGCCCCTCTGGCTTTAGAATCTTTTATATCCCGTGATTGTGTCTAGCTTTGTCCATGAGTTTCATAAATAGAATCTGTCATTAGAACTTGACTTCACCCAAAGGGGCAAGGCTCGAGGTTTGACAGTGATTCAGTTCACTCATGTTTTGCTTCTTTTCAGTGATTTTCTCTTTGAATGGGATAAGGAAAAGATTAAAGAAGGTGGGCATTTTGATGTGTGGTTTAAAAAAACCACATATGAGTAGAAGCTAAAACTGCAGCCTGTTTTCAAGAAGACAAAGACATCACACTTGAGTGTGCATAGTGCTTTTTCTTTTGCAGAGACAGAATAGATTAAGTTGTATATCTATTAGAATTTTGTCTTTATGGAAATCATAACAATTTGAGGAAGAAAGCTCATGAAGTTACAGAAGAAATACTAATTTGAAATGATAGCCAGGTTTCTAGTCAGCACAATTATCAAGCTGTGCCAGTCTCTGCATGATTCAAAATTCTTCAACATTAGAATAATTTTTAAAGTAGGTTGTCCTTGTATTTGAAGTAAATGTCACTGTAAATTTATAATATTTAAATATTCCTTATTTTCCTCCCAAAATAGGAATTCTTGCCTGAGATCATGAATTTTTGTGATTTCTGAAAACGGACATTACAGTACTTTTGGCCAGTGGCTTTGCAAATTTGTATTGCTGTCAATTTTCAGTTGGGGTGGGGGGGTGAAGGGGAGGAATTTTTAAAGTTTAGAATGATTTTAAGATAGCTTTTCTTTAGAAGGGAAAAAGTTTGTTTTGAGGTTAATATTAAAACATCTCATAATCACTGGAAATGAGCAGTCTGCTATAAAACCTATAGACTCATACTCTCTTAATTTTTTAATTGGTAAGTTTAGTCTTTATTTCCGGCATTAATATGCAGGTCTGCATATAAGGATTCTCCCTTCCCCCCATCCCTTAAAATTCTAAATCCATTTTCTCTCATCTTTCTGCAGAAGTGTTTTTTTCCCCCAGATCTTCACAGTGCACATTCTTATTCATATATATAAAATATGACATAGTGTTCATGTTGTTTATCTTTTGTGAGGAAGTTGAGGTGAATTGTATAGGCCTTTACTTTGGAGCCTCTAGTGTAGTCCATGATCCCATACCATTTTCAAAGGAGGTTTTTTCTTGCCAGTAGATGTCAGCACTGCCTTGATTATTATCTCTTCCTTTTTGTGGAAATCGGCAGGAAAATACACCTAGTTGGTGGTAGGCTTTATTTGCCTTTGAAGCTAAAGTAACAATTTATACAATAAGCTTAGTTTGCAAAAGATAAAAAATTCATTATATATGTTAGTACATAAGTTTCCTTGTATTGTAAACTAGGGGGTTTTGAGAGGAATTAAGTCTGACTATTTAAAGTATGTAATATTTCACCTGTTTTGAATAGCTTCCTTATAATTATTGTTTTGTCAGTTTAACTGTCTTTTATGGGTTATTATGGCCTCTTTCTTCTTTTGCCATTTTTTAGAAATTTTACTACAGCACCCTAATTAGGTGGTAATCAGATATAGGTCATAGGGGTCACATTCAAATCATTATTCGTCTGTATTCTTTAGAAGATCTGATAGAAGAGGTTGAAATTGCTAAAATGAGGTTTTTGCATTATTTGTATAATTTAACAAGTTGACGGACTTTTCTTTGTTCCTCCATACCATGGATTACTGAGATTTGACTCTTTATGCAGTGAATTCCAAAAAATTATCAAGACTCTTTAGTTATCTTGGGATTTTGTTGTATTTGTGTGCTTGTTCTCCCCTCCTCTGGAATCTTGCTTTAGTAATCATGTTTTTTCACATATATTCAGTCTCTCCCTTTCTGGTTTCTTATCTGTCTATTACATGTTTATGATTCCCTAATCCTTAAAAAGCATTTCCTTAGCTCTTCTGATCTATCAAGCTACCATCCCACCTCTTTCCCTTTGAATACCAACCTTCTTGGAAAAAGCTGTTTATACTAGATACTGTATTGCTCCTCCACCACCCTCACTCTGCTGAAACCATTCTCTCAAATGTCAGCAACGACCAGCACATTGCCAGATCCAAAAGCATTTTTTCCCTCCCTTTTTATCCTTCATCCCTTTGCACTCTTGGCAAGTTTTGAGTCTATTGAACAACCATTTCCCCAGATATTTTCTTTTTCCCTTGAATTTTGGACAGTATGCTTCTTCCTGGTTCTCCTACTATATCTGTAACCATTCTGTCTCCACTAGCTCTTCCCTGCTCCTTTAATCTTGGTATTCCCCAGATTTGTACTTAGTCTTCTTTATATGCCCTATTCACTCTCATTGCTTTCCAGGTGTCTCTACCTTTGACTTTTCATCTAAATTTCGTACATGTCTCAGACTCTATATGAAATCATCATGTGGACGTGCCATTAGTAACTCAAAATCCCCAGTGACCAAAACTAAACATGTTTCCCCAAAAACTTGTTTTTCTTCTTACTTGACTCTGTCAATGATACCACCATTCATCCAGTTGCATATGTTTGAAACTTTTTTATAACTGTTGATTTTACCCCTTCCCTCAGATGGACCTCCAGTCATTGTCAAGTCCTGTTGATTTTCTCTCTACATCTCTCAAGTCCTTCTTATCTGTATTCCCAGTGCCAATACCCAAGTACTGGCCCTCGTTACCTAACACTTCAACCACAGTTGTACACTTCCCAGTTCTGTTTTCCTCTGCAACATATCCTGCTGCCAGATTAATGTTCCTTATGGACATATCCTAACACATCACTCTCCTTTGCTGAAAACAATACATAGGCTTCTTGTCATGTACTAAATAAATACTAAACTATTTAAATTGTCATTCAGAGCCTCCCATAATGCTTTTTGAGCCTTATCTCATACTATTCCAAGTATGCCAAACTGGAGTAGCCCCTGTCTCCCATATGTCACTATCCATGCAATTGTTTTGCCTGAAATTCCCTCTCCTGCCTCTTTATTTGAAATTGGAACCTTCCTTTAAGACTCAGTTCAAAAGCTCTCTTTTCTCTCTCCCTTATTCCCATCAGTAACAATTCTTCCTCCCTTTGAACCTCAAATAGCACTTGTTTGAACCTCTCTTTTGTTTCTTGCATGTATCTTTTTGTAAGGGATAGAGAAACAAGTATTTATTAAGCACCTTCTACATGCCAGCCACTGTCCTACCATGTGCATCTACAGTGTGCCACGCACATAGTCTCACTTGAGATAATATTTGTATTACAATTGCTTGTGAATCTTTACTACTGTACAAAGTTATAAATACCACAAAGACTGTTACTACTTTATTTGATCTTTGTACCTTTCCTAGCTTAGTGTTCTGTACATAATAAACACTGAATAACTGTTTGTTGATGGATGTTGATTCATTAACTGCACCTGGTCCTTGGAAATCTTGGCTATGCAAACATTTTGTTTACTGTCATATAGCTATCCCTTCTTTAAACGTATTCGAAGTGTTCCTCATAGTATTCGTTTGAATAGTATTTCTTTTCCCCCCACCTTCCTACTCTCAGTGCATTTAATGTTATTTGTCTTATACACATTTTTTGGATGACCCATTATCAGTAGGACATGTGCTTTGAATTGCTTTTCTAATGGAGCTAATAGATTTTGTGCTGCCCAGTTCTCTTGGGATGGGGGACAGAACAGGGCTATAAGGGCTACATAGCATCTCTTAGTTAAAAGTGACCGTGGAATCAATGTAGTCCAACCTGGAACTAAACAGTGATTGGTCATCCATTTTTGAAACAATTGACTGAGGCCCGTGGCCATAGAAAAGATAGAAACTAGTTTTGAATCTGTAATCTTGGATCAAATGTACCATGCTTTGACCAATTTAAGAGTGTAGCACATGTGGAAAGTTTATTTCATAGAAATATCCTAGACCTCCATTTTTTAAGGTAGTCTTTTTTGTTTTTGTATATGGAGGAATGAACAGGCATAGCACAAAGCATTGGGAAATATAAAGATAATTGATGTTTGGCTTTGAAAAATGTAGACAGCTTGACACTTTGTTCCATTCTTGTCTTGGACTATTGGTGGCCTAAAATCCAGTTAAGACAATATATGGATAGCAGATTTCAAATTGCTATAGATAATTACATTCAACAGGTTGTGTGTGTATATGTGCGTGCACATGCGTGCATACATGTGCCCGCCATATGAATGGCACGCTGTTAGAAACTTGGATATT